AGCAACAATCTGTGCTGAGCTACTGCTGTGACCATGTTCTGCTTTGATGGTTAAGAAGATAAGGCTAGGGCATGCAAATAGACTGCATTCAGTGTGCTGTGTTCAGCCTGGACAGGGCTTCTGCAGACTTGTCCAGGTCGAAAATTCTGGCAACAGACACCTAAAGTAATTTTCTTTCAGCAGAGCATTGACTGTGATCAAGCAACAATCTGTGCTGAGCTACTGCTGTGACCATGTTCTGCTTTGATGGTTAAGAAGATAAGGCTAGGGCATGCAAATAGACTGCATTCAGTGTGCTGTGTTCAGCCTGGACAGGGCTTCTGCAGACTTGTCCAGGTCGAAAATTCTGGCAACAGACACCTAAAGTAATTTTCTTTCAGCAGAGCATTGACTGTGATCAAATGACATGTTAACTGTGTTGTATTTTTAGCTTGGAGTAGGAGGAAAATACTGAAAAAACAGCTTCTATCCCTAGCTGGTAACAGGGGGCTCTAAATGCATTCCTCATACACACCATGCTGCAAAGATCCCGGGGTTTGTGGCAACCAAACAGCTCCAGGAAGAGCCACGCCACAGTGCTAGGCACAAGCCAAGGAGCCCCACACCTCAGTACCATGGGAGAGACTGGCTGCTCTTGGAATCCAGGCTAATATGTCCCACAATATTTCACTGCATGCTAGACATACCAACTTAGAGCTGTCCTCTGCAACCCTGTGTCACTGCATGGTCAGGAATGGCCCTTGGATATTAATGTCAAGGGCCAGAGCTCTCCTTTCCAGCCACTCTCCTAAAGAAGGAAGTGACCCGTATGCATTGGCAGAGTGTGCAAGTACCTTACAAATATTATACAAACAAAGCAGAGGTATTTCCTCCTTATTCCAGGCCTAAGGGTTGAAGCAAAGCACTGGAACAAGTAAAGAGCCCATTCCTCTCCAAGCTCTGCTATGTTCTCAGTATATCTAACCTTCAACAAGTCACTGCACTGGGCTTTTATTTTTCCACCCCTCCTGGTGATGTGGTTATTCAGTCAGGTTTGCAGAGTCCCTCGAGTTCTTAACAGGAAGGACAAAGTATTATTAGAGTGTTAGAAAGTCACAGAATCACAGACTAGTAAGGGTTGGAAAAGACCTCTAGAGAACATCTAGTCCAACCCCCTGCTAAAGCAGGGTCAGCCAGAGCAGGTTGCACAGGATTGTGCCTAGGCAGGTTTTGAAAGTCTCCAGAGAAGACTCCACAACCTCTCTGGGCAGCCTGCTCCAGGGCTCTGGCACCCTCGAGTCAAGTGCTTGCAGTCAGGCAGGGCACTACAGCAGCACACAGCCCACCCCATAACACCATCCCTGAACACCTGACCTTGGGCAGTGGCACCGGTGGGATGTGATCAGGAGGGTGGGATGTGGCAGTAGCCATCTCACTCCACATGCTTCTGAAGGAAAGCTGCCATCATGGGCAAAGAAGAAACGGTACCAGTGGCAAATTCATCTTCCAGGAGAGAAGAGGTCTGTCCTGCCCTCAGTTACACTGCTGTAAATCCAAAGTTATTCTCCTAAGACCTAAAGTGTACTTGCTCCTGTTTCGTGCTGTGCCTAAGCTGTTAGTCATTAATATGCATTCTGGAAGCTCCAAACAGAATCTGTACTCCTGGCTTTCCTTGTACACTGTAAATATGTATTTATACTTATTCTAATGTATATTTTTATTGCACAATACCAGACAGTGACAACATGTACAGGCCTGCTGGGATTTATGTGATAAATCTGTTCCCTCTCAGTAACTGGGCTAAGAGTGTATTTCATGTTAAAACCCATGCATTACAAGAAAAGCTCCTGCTTGGCTCTGGAGATCAGACAGTGAGGATGGAGGGGAGGAGAGGGGAGAGAAGAGCCCAGTGTTGCCTCTTTGGTTTAAGTGGAAATAAAGATGGAAACACACATGCACAACAGGGCTCCCATCAGGAACAGAGCTCCCAAAATTAAACACAAAAGAAGTCAAAATTCAGGGAGCAGGGGTCTATTGGCTACAGGACAGACACAAACAATGCTCAGTGCCTGGGGTCAGGGGACACTGACCTTCAGAGACATGGGTGCAGAGCCCCAGACAGGCAGCAACTCAGGTCTCCAGAGCAAGAGGGCTGTGCAGCTACAACCCCATCAGATGACACAGGACTGTGTCCTCAGCAGCTGGTGTTACCAAGGCCCCTGTTAAAACTCTGCTGTCCCTTCCTGGGTCATGCCAGACCCTGGTCAGGGCAGGGACTCCATAGGAGGTGTATAACCTGTGACAGAACTGGGTGTAGGGGTTGGTCCCTGGGTCCTGACCATGTCACCAGGCACATGTGTGTGGACACACTCACACATGTACACACCTTACTCAAGGTTCATTTCAGCTTATTAAAATTGCTGCCAGAAATACAAATGCTACTTGTTATTCCCCTTGTCCTCCACAAATCTGCAAAGAGAAATATTTAAAGAGCATGTCAGCATCTGAGCTGCTTGGGAGCAAATACCCTCCAGCCCCAAAACACACCAGCACCAGCACAGACTTCCCTGTCTGTGTCCCGGGGACAGCAGGTGTGTCTGACTCAGCCAAAGCTCCCCAGTTTTGGCCATTCTGGCACAACACACTGATCAGCACCGTGGCAAGACTGCCTGTAAAACCACTCATCAAAACAAATCAGAGAGCTGGTTCTTCTGAGCCAGCTGCTGTACCCATCAGATTTCCACTCCTGTCTTTGATCTCCACGGTACAGAGGAGGTATAACCTTCAATGTGTAGCTGGGGTCTTCTTTTCTACAGCTGTGCTTCTCCCTCCTCACAAAGCACAGATCACCCCAGTCCTGGCTTTGATTCCCCAAGGACTCAGGGCAGGGAGAAGCTTTCACCATTACTGTGGTTACTGAGCCCAGAAATTACTGAAGAGCCATCACACTGGAGGAGACAGTGTCAGCCTTCCCCCTGTATTGGTGAGGAGGCTGCTGAGCACATCCCCAGGAGATGCAAGGACTCCTTTAGGTGGATGGGCAGCCAGCACAGAGGCAGAATGGGCTGGCCTTGGGCAGTGTGCTGCTGCAGAGCCGTGCTCAGGAAAACATGCCCATGGGCAGAGCAGCCCGGGGTGGCCAGGCTGACCCACTGCCACGGGCACCGCAGCCTATCTCCAGCAACAGGGGCTGTGGATGGAGGCCAGCTGGCAAAGGCACCAGTGAAACAGCACAGCCAGAGTCAGGAGGTGGCTTGAGAAGGGAGGACGAGGAGAGGGAATTAACTTGCAGAGTTTTCCACTAAGGCACTGCAGGTTCTTCTTCTTGAGAATAAGATGCCACTTTCAGACCACCAAGTAACGCTGCTGAGCACCGTCCTTCCTTTAGGACTATGGATGTCAGCAGCCCAGAGGAAGAACTAGACAGAGTCCCACAGCCCCTTGTTCACTGTAACCCCTTATGAGGAAGAGCCACCTCCTGAGGAAGAGGGTGGGGGGACCCAGCTGGGCTCTGCTCTGGAACAGACAGACAGGCTGTACTTCCCTGGGCTTTCATCTGCACCACCTGGAGCTCTGGAAATGCAGGTGAGGGAGCAGGGAAGGAAGCAGATCTGGCATTGCCCAAACCTCACCACACCAGGCTGGGGGACAGACTTCCACTCCCAGCACAGCACCAGCCATGGGCAGGCCTGCTGCACAGAGGGGACAAAGGGCTTCCCTCATCTTTGGAGCTACTGAACCCACACAACAGGAACCCAAGGATGCTCAGCACCTGTCAGGATCAGGCTGTGGCTGTATCCAACTCAAAACACACCTGGCCTTGCTCTCCAGCCATGCAAATCCTCCCCAGTTCTGACTTCTCTCAAAACAATCCCTTTCCCACCATCTCCCCTTATAAAAAAAAAAACATTCTGGTCAGTCAATCAATCAAGGAAACAGATAACAAAAAGCAAAATCTCTACTAATCTTTGTGGCTGAAGAAAGAGCTGATTGTTTTTGCCTCTCTCTGAGCCTGCCTTGTGTCCTGCACTTCCCCAGTCCTCTTCACACCTTCTTCTCTTTATTACCAGGGAAAGAAAATCCTGGTCTTTGGGCTGTTTTGTTTAGCAAATGAGGGACATGCAAAGCAATAACCCCAGGCATCTGTCAGAAGGAGAGAGGTGCCTCTGTGTCTTCCAGACAGCCTTCAGGTGCTTAGAGCAGCAGCCCAGAAACACTATGATCAAGGGTGGATTTAATTTTGGACACAAGATGCATCTTTCACTTCCTAATGAAGACGTATCCACGGGACACCTGCAGGAAGCAGAGGTGTGTTCCCAGCTAGCACAGCATTATGCTGGAGCTTATCTTTGGGTGGTATGAACCTCCATGGAATGGAATCCTAGAGAAGGCAAACCCCTGACATGTTCACATTGTGTTGGCAAGGGTTAGGGAAGACCTACAAGGGACTGAGATGAAGGACAGGGAAGAATTAGGCTCCAGCTGGACTCAAGTTGTATTGAAAAAATACCCAAATATTGTTTGCTGGGTCCAATTGCTTCCCACTCTAGACTTCAGGAGAAAGCATTTTCAGTGAAAAAAAGATAAGAGCAGAGTCCCTTGTCCTCACAGCAGGTCATTCCTCCAGGGCAACATAGTTGTAGATGATAGGAACACCCTAGCAGGTTAGATTGA